CGATATGCACTCACAACTGTAGATCGCTTGATATTCTTGGTGATATTATTTATAGTGATATAATGATTTACCAAGTGCAGAACAGCTCTGATTCACTCATGTGCTACTTAGTATATTTTTTCTAGGCCTCATGTTAGGGTAGGGAGTGAGCTGACTCAAGCCTACACCCATTGTAGAGAGTTCTAATATAGGATTCGGCTTATTTGTTGAGAGAGCCATAATTTTGTAATTTTAAAAAAACCATTTATCATTTAGGAGTTGGGTTTGCTGCTATTGCGGTCTGCAGGATCGATGACCGATGCGATCAATGTCAGTTATTGCGTATTGGTCAAAAATGCGCCAAAGATGAGGAACATGAACATCTGTACTGCGATAATACTACAAAGTAAATTTTTTCAGCTGCTTAAGCTAAATGTATTTCAGGATCAAAGAATCCCAGCAACATTGTCTGAAGTTTCGAAATTAATAAATCATCTTGAGTTTAGGATTTGATTGGTATGAAGAAAGCAGAGAAGCTAGAAAGTCGATTTTTCGGGGTCTTGGATCAAAACAAGTCTTAATCTTTCTAACTTACATCTTAGCTTCCTTAAATACCACTTCGGTGATTTTCGATCGCCTCTCTCTTTCTATTTCGTTCCACTTATTACCTAATTTCCACTCACAATTGCTCATCGATCCTTCGTATTCATTGTCTGTTCTCGTTTGCTTGCTGTTGACATCTTTCTAACCCTTTTTTAAATACCATAGATATATTTTGGGTTAAATTATCATTAAGTCTCTCGCACACCTTCCCCTTTCCTCTCAAATTCGCTCTGTAACTGATTTAAAAAAGCGCAAAAATAAAATTACTGTAGACCGAGAAAGCTGCAATTTTAGTCGAATTGACATCCATGAGCATTCATATTTGGCATGCGATACGCAGAAACATGAATATATTGAGAAACACTGTGGTATCACAAATGGTGACAGTAATTTTTGTCGTACTGCACATCCGAAGCGTAATAAACGGCATGGTGTTGCCGGTTCAGGTCGAGTCGGCGACTACTGCTCATTCAACACCGATTGCCTCAATGTTTGTTTATCGTGTTTTTTTTTTTTTAAACATTCTTTATATATCTTAGAACGAGACGGCCATTAATAGCTTTGTGACAGCCGCAATAAAATCTGAGAGCGAGGATAAGAGAGATATAGTTGGTGACACATACACAGAAAATGTAAAAATACATTAAAAAATAATCAAATGACCTGGGATGCTTCGGTCCATTAAGTAGCATACATAGCACCACCAGCTGGACTTCATCAGTACGACGGTTGTGGTGTTGGAATGTGTATAAGAGGCAATATAAGACAAATGTGTATAAAATAAGACTTTTGGGAAACTCCTTCCTGTAAATATGTTCACTAAATATATGATAAAGTGGTATGTCATCGCGGTTGAGCGTTGGCAACTATTAAGTTGATGATGCTCAACACACACTCAGGGAAGGATCGGAACGGCTCTAAAATCTTATCAGGTGTACATTGGTACTAAGTTCGGTCTTGATCACAACTTGGTCAAGGGGTTAAATTGTCGTTAAACTGCGCAACTAGCACATTTCGATTTTAGGACAATGCTGCTTTTAAGACATTTTTTCTGCTTCGGTTACTTTTTGTGAGCAAAAAAAAAAGCATTACAAAACCCTCTTTTCCAACCTGAAGACGAAAATTGGTGCTTAATAAAATTCTTTGTCGCTAACGTATTTTGCTATGAGAAATTTCAATTTGAGTACAGTTGAAAGAACGACTTTTCTTGAAACTTTTCTAAGTGATTTCGCTAGCCCTGGTTGAGGATGAATTTTTTGTAGCTTCAAAAAACTCATGGGTTTCAATAATTTTTTTTTTGATGGTAACAATTTGTTTTGCAGAAGTTAATTTTTTAAATTTTTTTGCAGGGAATGTTCTGCTCAGCGGATGCATGTACATGCCTGAGTAATTTTGTCGCTATCCAGGGATACTGCTATCTCAGTTTGTTTTCATTCTTTCGGATTTTATAAATATTTTAAAAATTTCAAAATTTTTGGTGCTTTGCTAACTACCTTGTTTCGTCGTCGCGTTGTTTTCCGCCACTGATGCAGCCGGCGTTTCTCCATTTTTCTCTGTTTTGGGCTTCTCTTATTCACTTAATTTCATCCGATCGTTCAAACGGATTCTCCACTGCTCTGTCTGTATTTCCCAAGCTCTTTTAGCACTGAATGCGAATTGTTACGTGGAACATTTTAACTGCACAT